TCTCCTCATTTTCAGCACTCACAGCATAAATCTCTTTTACAGTCAATTTCAGCTGACTTTTCACTCAAATGTTCTGAACTTCGTTCCGAACTTCGCAAATTCGTTGCCAAATTCAAAAGTTCATAATGAAATTCACAAACAGGTTTGTAAACTGGGCATTTGATTGGCTGATTTGATTTAATAGCCAATCAGAGGCTTTGTTTACAAACCTGTTTGTGAATTTCATTATGAACTTTTGAACTTGGCAACGAATTTGTTCGGAATCTTAACGGTGAAAAGTCAGCTGAAATTGACTGTAAGCCAGAAATCATATTTTCAATAATACTGATCTCGGAATTAACTTTATTAATAGCTCTTCTTATGGCATTTTTACTCGGCAATGGTACACCAGGAAGTTGTTTCTCAATTAGGTCGTTCAATTGTTTCTTAGCTTTTGTCAGCCTGGTTTTAGCCGATTTCTTACAACTTCGTAAAGTTTGAATCTTGATACTCGCATGTTCGCTTTCTATATTCAATGTATTTTCTTCTTTTTTACTTTCGTGGTCGGCGAGATGAACATTTTGAATACTTTTAACAGCTTCAACACCTTGGTCTGTCTCTTCTCCCGGCAAGTCTTGTTGTTGTCCACTCGTACTATTAAGCGCCATATTTGCTCGCACATTCACAACAAAAGTCGCGAATTTCTCGCTATTTTGTCAACGGATCCGGCTCTCGAAGGACCAAACTTGTTCCCGATTAATTGAACAGTCTATAAAATGTCTACACGAGATAATTCGCCACTTTATTCCGAGTAAAGCCCGTTCTCCACTAGGCGAATTTGTTCGCGCGACGCGAAGCGAAAACCGAAATCCGGCAACGTGATTGGTCGGCGAAAAAATTCGCGGCGAAAAAGTAGGATCGCTTCCTACTTTTTATCTGTTCGCGCGAATAAATTCGCCTAGTGGAGAACGGGCTTAAAGAAACACAAAAATAGCCTAAATATCGTCACACTTTTTTGTAGTCAAAGAAATATAAACTAGAAGTCTAGAACCACTGAGCTATAATATTACTGGAGGAGCTGCTCCTATCTTCCGCCAGTCAAAAAAGTGTCGCCAAAAACATGGCGGATTTTCACGCTTGCTTACGCCATCTGGTTCCTTTTGGCAATGGTATTTACCACTGACAAACCGCGATCCTCTGCTTTTGACGGTGTCTTTCACCCCCCTGGATTTTCGATAAAAAATGTTTTTGTTTCCAGCTAAAAATATTTTTCTGCTACTTTGCTTGTTTTACAAAGTCGAGGGATGTGGATGCTGCAATACGCTATAAACGAAGGGTAGAGTATTTTCTTCAGGTAAGATTTTTTTAAAAACTTTTCAGATGGCTAAAAAATTTGTGTGTATGAAATTTTGCTTTTGTTTCAAGCTCTGGCTTTTGCGTTTTTACTCTCGGTTTTTATTGCCAGTTACAGTAGTTTTAAATACTCTGTGTCCTTCTGTATACTATTTATTAAAACCCTTACACTTACAATAAGCATTGTAAGCATTTAGTAAGCTCTGGATTTTAATATTTTTATATATAATATTAATAAATATGTTTCCTGTGACTATCTTAACTTTATATTATTAAACTGCTAGTCTTTGCCAGATTTTGTATTAAACAGCAGTTGCCTACTGTGCAATACTGCAGTTAGTCATGTATATGTGGGGCGTAGGAGGTGTGCACAACCAATTTGTATATGGCACTTTTGACAGCAGCTTGAGTTGTAATGGCCATGGGGCAACTTTTTGCTGCAATAAATAACTATTTTGTGCATATACCATCTCTGCAATACAAGCAAATGTTTTGTTGATACCCTCAACACAAAGACCAAGCATTCATGGGTAATTCCACAATACATTCACACCTCCCAAAAAGAGGAATACAAGTTGACACCTTTCTCCTTCAGTTGTTTAATATATGTCCTCAAACATTTTACTATGATAGAGGGGTTTGTCCTGCTTCCCTCTTGAGATGACAGCAATATCCTCTGTAGTGAGGGGTCTGATATTCTGTCTTAATAATCCTCACAATGGGTAATTCCAGAAAAGATCCATACTCCCCCCACAGAGGAAATTTCTGCCATCCAGAGGGGGAAGGAAGAAAAAATTGTTTCTGATAATAGTAAATGTATTAGGACATTCAAAGGGGTAGGGGGTTAACTTCCTATTTCCTCTGTGGGGGTGGTATGGATGTTTTCTGGAATGACCCAATGATAGACTAGCTAACTACAATATATTTAAACATTACTCACTTTTCTTATTTAGGTTGAAACTTTAATGTGAGAGTACCCCTAGAAGTTTCAAGATACTGAACAGCAGAGAGTAAATTAGTCATAGCCAGTGGGGCAACAAAGTTATTAGAACAGTTTAGATTTTAAAATAATTTATTGTAATTAATTATTATTCTTTGAAAAAGTTAAATTAAATTACTTCAGCTGTGTACTGTGTTATAAATGTGGGATAATTTTGCAAAGAAAAAAGCATGTGAAAAGAGAAATGCACAAAAAAATACTGAATTTTAAGCCAAGGGTGCCTGAACTACAGTATGGCTTAACTCAGGGTGTACCTTGTGTGTGGGGCAGGGGGCTGTGCTGCCTGTGCACCCCATTTTCTGCTAAGATTGTTGATAAAATCAGAAAAAGGAATTCTAATCAGTAAAATATGGGACTGGTCATTGGTAAAATTGTTATTAATAGTTTTTCTCAAATATTGTGATTCATCACAATGACCTAGTAGGCCTTAGAGAACATTGAAAATTGATTTTTTTTTTTAATTTTCTTACTTGAAATTGAAAGGGAGGGATTAAGTAGGGCAATGAGTGGGCACTGGCCATGCCCTATCTTTGATAAAAATGAAGTGTCAAGCCCCTCATTGAAATTTTATCCAAACACTATCAGAGAAGACAGTAACTACAATGCCATCTGTGTTCCACATTAGTTGAAATGTGTTCTTCCTACAAATGACATCATGCACATACTGTATTCCCCACAAAAGCACCATTTGATGTACAAAGTTAGTAAATAAAAACACAAAATACTGATACATGTATGGTTTCATACTGCTAGATACAAATATCTAGATACAAAGAGCTTCAATATATATCAGGACTATCAGCAATATTTAAATATTTTTAAAATAAAAATAAATGAAACTATATTATATGTCTTATATAAAAGTCGACGTATTTTCTGCAACAAAAACTTTAAATACTTGTGGCTAAAATAAAGCATTATCCATCGTATTTAAATATAATCATATCCCATCAATATGACAAATTTTTCACGAAATATTTACAGTATTTCAGGTTCTCGAGAACTCACTAACTGTGAAATATTATATTTTACCCGTCCGAGGCTGTCAGCTCGTCTCAACTGGCTTCAAATGTCGTCTTTGCCGATATTTCTCTAGGTTTATTGTCTTTAGCGAACAAGGATAACTTGTACAGATTGCACATCTTTGAAAAAAATAGTCGACGTCCAAAATTTATGTAAAAAATCCAAAACTACGACTGCAAAAACAACAAAATATTTTTTGCAAAAACCAGGGGGAGTGAAAATTGTAGCGGGCTCAAAATTGAGCCTTGTTCAGTGGTAATTGCATGAGCAAAAGGAACCAGATGGCGTCATTCTGGCGTCAGCAAAGGCCGAAATCCGCCATGTTTTTGGCGACACTTTTTGATGCCGAGCACGTCCTCCAGTTATAGTATAGCTCAGTGGACAACACTTACTTTATTTTCATGGTAATTGCCACTGACCAACCGCGATCCTAAGCTTCCGACGATGTCCTTAACCCCCCTGGTTTTTGGGCAAATATTTAATACGATATAGATATTTAAAAGTTTTCTGTTGTTTTTGAGCTAAAAAATCTTAATATTTCCCTCGAAACATTACTTGTTTTAATTGTTTTTGTTTGTGGAAACACCACGTAAATTTATTACTGCAAAGCTTTCGATATTAGATATCATATTATAATATTATTATTATCATATAATATTATTTTTCGATATTATATTATATATCACATATTATTAGCACTGATGAAGATCCGGGCTTACGGATCGAAAGCTTTGCAGTAATAAATTTACGTGGTGTTTCCACAAACAAAAACAATTATATTTTATCGCCATGCAAACATTCAAAGAACTTATTACTTGTTTTACAACGCGGAGCGAGGGTGCGGGTTTGCTTCGCTTGTGGATCAGCATTTCACTACAAAGAAAGACTAATTCTTTCAGGTAAGATTCACGAAACTTTTTTATAACTTTCTAGACGACTAGACGGCTAGAGTCACTAGATATGAAGGGTCATATTATGTCGAAAACTCATCATCCTAATATATACTGCAAATATTTCAATAGGGGACATAAAAGTATTGTTAATGATTAAACATTGTGTACATGAAATTATGTTGTTTTGTGTCAGCACTGGTCTTTGTGGTTTTATTGCCAGTTTTTATTTATACTAAAAATTGTGGTTGTTTACATGTTCATATATTTTAAAACGTTTATTAAATATGGTGTGAAATTTACATACTTGCCCATCACAGTGCAGAATTAGTATATACAGATAAGCACAAGACTAGAGAGAGTTGAGCCGTAGAGGAGGCCCACCTACATGTGACAATGCATGTGCCCTGTCCTGATGAGCCCTAAGGTCTGTCTTTATTATTTTATTCTGTCTGTCTAATGCCAGACGATTTTAAGGGGATTGAGACTGCTCCCTGCTGCCACACAGTGGGTTAATTACACTATCTGCAAATGGGCAGCCCCTGATATATATAATCAGCCAATTAAGCTGCAATGAACCCTGGCCGTACTTTCTTATTTTACTCAATCTGTGAGATTAAATCCAGATGTTTTACTCATCAAGGGAAGAGTCTTAAAAATAGATATCATTTTGCCATTGTCTGTTCAGAACTATATAAAATTATATAGTTTTACACAGTATGATGTCATAGTTATTGGCAAGAACAAAAATGTATCCCACAAGCTGCCGGAATTTAAGTGATCAGTCACTGATACACTAATCATGAGGTAAATTCGTAATGCTACAACAGTTCTAACAAGGGCGGATTTTCATTTATTTAAAAGGAGGGGTAGAAAAATTTCTGGTGGGGTGCAAGCGGCACCACTCAGTGAGCTTTGGCAGGGGTTAGGCATTTGGGAATAAAGCCTTTCACACAAAATGAGAGGGTTGCAGCAGAATTTTGGTGGGGTTGAACACTTTATTAGAGGGGTTTAAACTCCCCCCCCCCTTAACTGTCAAGTAAATCCACCCATGATTTCTAACATTGGGAGTATATAGTGATGTCCGATTGGCCATGACACAGCCTGTGAGAAATTATGATGAAAATTTGATCATAATAGTTAAGTTTGACATATTTTAGCAGTTAGTTAGGAATGTAATAATTGCATTGCTGAATATTGAAACATAAGATTTAATTTTGAAGCTCAGATCAATTACTGGTCTTGGTAAAAACAGATCATGTAATTGCACTCTCCCCTTGACTAGTAAAATTGTCTGGCATTAGGTAGATTAATTTAAAATAATACAGTAAAGCATATACACATTGCCACTTGTGAAGGATTAACATATGTGTATATGATATTATTGTGATGTAAAGATGTATAATGTATCATGATAATAATGTCATCTTTTATTTTGCAGAAATTATATGTTTAATATACACAAGAGATGACACAGGAGAGGCATCAACATGCAGAAAAACAACAAAATGAATTAGTTCATTATAATACCATGCATAACAACATAAATAATTATATGATTATGATAACTTTATTGAAGTGTAAATAAAGTTTAATAGCAATTAAAATTATACATTTTTGTTTTTTAAATTGTTTACTGCTAATAATTTTTCAAAAAAGTCAAATACACCCTTCCGGAATGTATTTCACCTTGGCTATGGAGCCTCATTTTCATGCATGTGGCATGAGTTATATCTCAATTGTGAAAATGAGACCCTATATATAGCCAAGGTGACATTATTTCTGGAAGCATGTATTAAAATACAGTATGTTCAGTTTCCAAAGATATGTGTGGCTTGGTACTGTAACTTGCCACCCAGAAAGGAGTGTGTCATTGTGGAATAAATCTGCAATATAAAACAAGAGTAGATTAATTATGTAAGTTGTACAAAAATCCACCAGTAACATAATTAGCATATGATCAAGGTAAACAAAAGAATGTGACCTATAAACTCCTCAGCTTAATAAACCATGGGTATCAGAACTATGAGTGCACTTATAAACAATATTGCTCATTCAGAGTGATATTTTAATACTGAGAAAACTTGCAAGAAATCAGGCCATCCTGGAAATGAGGTTTATGTCTGTTTATAAAACGAGACCTCAGGAATCAACCTTTTAAACATTATTACACAGACAGTTTCCACTTTAAAGACCGTCGTAATCCTCGTATATGTGACTGAATCTCGATCAAAGCTTCGTAGTTTGTAACCAAATATTTTGCGATTATTGTTGCTTGCTAAAATTAGTAAAATAGTGGGAAATATTACACTTTACCATGTGTATTACATAGGAAGTTGTTTTATTAACAAATAGAGTGTCAGTTTCATCGTTATACTGATCATTTTCATGTCAAATAAGGTAAAGTCTAAATATTAAAAAATTGAAATATGAAAATTTGTCTCTTACGGTCTTACCCTTTGAAAATCCATATTCAAGTCTTTTCCCACATTTCTTGAGGTTTTAAATTTGTTTGTCGTCTTTCACGGGCGAGAATAACACGTAGGACTTGCATATTTTGGTCCAAATCGTCAAAGGTAGAAAATTTATATCGAAAAAATTTTAAAAACCGATTCAAAACCACGAGAACTATAATATCTGCAAAACTTTTTTGCAAAAACCAGGGGTGTGTGAAAACGGCCGTGGGCTCAGAAATGAGCGTGGTCAGTGGTACCTACCATGAAAATAAAGTAAGTGTTGTCATGGAAATGGCGTCATTTTCACTCAAAATCCGCCATGTTTTTGGCGACACTTTGTTGACTGAACGAAGTATAGGAGCAGGTCCTCCAGTTATTATACAGCTCAGTGGTCTCGCCGCCATTTTGGCAGTAAGTGTTATGCACTCGTCATCTCGCGTGATCACTCGTGATCAGCACGGAAAATTACGGACACGCAAACATTAGGGAAATACGTCGAGTGACACATCTTTATAGTATCTAATCTTTGATTGTATGTTCCGAACCACTGAGCTATACTATATTACTGGAGGAAGTGCTCGGCAAAAAAAGTGTCCGCAAAAACATGGCGGATTTTCGCGCCATATGACGCCATTTCCATGACAACTGGTTCCTCCGGCTCATGAAATTACCGCTGACCAGGCTCAATTCTGAGCCCGCTACAATTTTCACACCCCCCTGGTTTTATCAAAAATATTTTTGCTTTTCGACGTTTTTGCAGTAAATTCTCATTGTTTTTTTTATATTTTTTCGACTTTTGACCATTGGTTCAAAGATTTAAAAGTCGTACACACTATTCTCACCCGCGAAAGACAAAAAACCGATATGAAAGCCCCGAAAAATTTAGGCAAAGACGATATTTGATGGCACAGCTATTCAGGTAAATTTTCACATACTATTGGTATGCTTTTATTTTTAATTTTTGAATGATAGTGGGAGTAAATGGTAGAATATAATCCATCAGATAACAGGCTCTTTGTATAGTATAATGTATTATTTTCCGCCGTGTACTCAAAGTCTTGTCGTAGGCTACTGACAAATACAGAAACTTTGTTTTTATATTCAAAGTTTTTTGGGTTTTTTTTTTACTTTACTAGCTTTGTTAAATTGTTGGCGGACCATGGTTTTTGTTAAACAAATTTTGTTTTATTTAATTCAGTTAAATTTAGTTAAATCAGTTTTTCCCTCAAATCAAAGGGGTTTTCTATATAGACTAATAACTATATGGACTGATGGCTGAAATCTGACATGCTTGATTTTATGCAATTGTATGTGCTAAATAAGTGTATATACAGGTATAAAGGCATGAAACAATGTGCTTCTATCTATATTCTTTGTGTTTATATATGCTAGAGTCTGTGTTTATTGTAGTATGCATAATCTAGGGTGCCAGTAGAAGCAGCCTAGGGGTGCCAGAAGCTCAGGATACTGTGGCCAGCTTATCTGGTAATATGATTTCTACCTAGATTTCTGACTGTCATGTTGAATTGAGGATTCTTGAACCACTAGAAATAGGATTGTACTTCCTGAATGTTGGGTACCAATCACAAGTGTAGGTATAAGCAAAGTATCTAGATTATAGGGTTGCACTGGATCTCATTATACAGGCCAGAACTGAGAAAGTCACACATGCTAGTCAGACATCAAGTCAGAAACAATTTAATTGGTAGATAATGTCACTTCCAGTCCATGCAGGTGGATTTATTTGGGGTTTTGTTCATTTCAGTCCTCTCTCTGTGCACCCCTGTATGATGCAACTACCTGAAACTAACTAAATCAATGAACTTCAACATTTCAGGTGAAAGACCTATAGTATTATTTTTCAGGTAGTTGCATGCATGATACATTTAAGCCTTTAAATATTGTGGTGGCTTAAGATGTTTTCTCATTTCCTTTCTTCACTTTTGTCTGTAGTGAAAACTTTAATTTACAACATTTTAATTATATAATCTCTTTTTGGTCTAATTGCAGAATTATTTGATGGTGATACAGTTCATAGTTCAACCTCTTTATTAAAGAATTATCAATTATTAGAAATAATTAATTTTGTTAGCAGTGATAAAACTATCCAGACAAGTTATTATTATGACTTTGTAGCCAGATGGGTATGATTTTGCTTTGGCTGTTCAGCATTTTGATCCATTGTGATATGTCTTGTGGTACCTGTGAATGATTTTACCTGCAAAATGAATGACAGAATATCAGAATGTAACATTACATTAAGATACATCCTTACACGGCAATATAATTATGTAAATATAGATGTTCAGTGTGAAGAATATGGTCTTTGACATTCTTTGTATATAATAAACATGTTATTGTGAAATGGAAATGATCAAATAAAGTTATTTCTGCAACAGCCCTTGCATTCAAACACCTTATTTGTATTTTTCTTGTTCATGCTTGAGCATCAGCCTCAGGATAAGCAAATTCCATTGGATTTGTGAGAGCACTTGAACTATATTGGGTCATTACATGAATTACAGAAAAGATTCAGACTCTCACAGCCTGTGCTACAAAAAAGTTACAGCTGTGACAATGTAGAGGGGTGATCCAAATAATAAAAATGATGTTTAATATGGACTTAAAATTATGAAGCAATTGAGTGCACCAGCACTTTCCTCTTTAACAAATAAAATTATCTAGCATTGGACTGAGCAAGATAACAAAGTAGGGCACAGTGCCCCTTAATTAATCACTTAAAGGTTTAAATGCTGAATTTTTTGAAAGTGCCAGAGTGGCAACTGGCAGGCTATACTGAAAAGGTAGGTTGTGGACATGCATCCTAAGTAAATACTGCTACAAAAACCTGGTAGTTAGCAGTTAAAAGTTAAAACCAATCACGAATTTCATTAGTTCAAAGTAATATAAAACAAAACAAGTCGAGAAAAGGATTTTGAACCCAAGATATGAGACAAAATTAATATGAGAATGAGTTTGAACATAAAGAACAAGAAAAAAGAGGATAACTGAATTACAAAACTGCTGTGATATTGTTGAAACTAGAAATATTATACATTTGCTGTTTATAACGGTAGTTTTTTGCCTTTTCCATCGAAATGGCAAGTTAAAATATTTGCCAAGCAGCCCAAGCTTTGGCAAGCTAGAATTTAAAAAAAAGTATTAAAAGAAATAAAACTTTCGTGAATCTTACCTGAAAACAAGAAATATAATAATCCTTCGAGTGAATTGTTTCATCTACAAGCAGACTAAAAACTTAAAACTAACACACTTTTTCCTCGACTGCGAAAATAGCAAAATTTTCGGTCGAAACTCGAAAATTATTATCAAAATTTTTGCAAAAACCAGGGGGGTGAAGGATTTTATTTCAAGCGCAGGATCGCGGTTGGTCAGTGGTAATTGCCATGAGCCGGAGGAACCAATTGGCGTCAGCAAACATGAAAATCCGCCATGTTTTTCCGGACACTCGTTTGACTGAAGGATAGATAGGAGCACGTCCTCCAGCAATATTAGCGAGGTTTAGCAAAGACGACGCGACGTCAAAGACGACGTGAAAATGGCGTAAAAATGGCGTGATATGCCCATCTATGGATGTGCCTACGCCATTTTTACGCCATTTTCACGTCGTCTTTGACGTCGCGTCGTCTTTGCTAAACCTCGCTATTATAGCTCAGTGTTCCGAACATGAAGTTCTAAAATAGTTGTCATGGTAACACGATAATTTTTTAAGAATATTCTTACAAATGAAAAATCGCTTAAAAATATCACTTTTCATTACAAAATCATTAATTTCCCAACATATATATTTAGGTATGTTATTATACGTAATATAAGCCTCAATTTAAGGCAAAATTCAACCACAAACGCTTCGCACACCGGTTTTAAAGTGCTCTTTAACTAAACTGCCTTTAATTATTATCAAAGGCCTTCGAGGCCGACTCACGGATGAGATCAAATTAATTAAAGGGGGATATGATTTACAGCAGTTTTTTACAAATGGGAACCGTGCAAGGGCAAGGACATTATTTGGTAAAACACGACATAATATAAAATGTTCCCGAAGATCTTACAGGTTTAAACAGTTTAATTTTAACGACATCCTCGATTTTAACAATAAGGGACCGGTCATTAATTATGGAAGGGGGAGGGGAGGAAAAAAATAGGGGGGGCATATGTAGCAATGACTAGAAGGGGGGCTATTAAATTTTTTCAAGAATATGACAGGGGGTGTTGCAATTAAACTTGAAGGAATTTGCTTAATAACCTGGTATCCATTTGGTTGTAAATGTTGCAACTAAATCATGGTCACTGATGTGAAATAGTCTGGATTCATCTTGTCTTGTGTGTGCTGTATGCAAATCAGTCTTTACGGATTGCAGACTAGTTAAATTGACAATGTATTATTACATCAGCTCTTGATGTGGTTAAATACATTTAAATTAAGCAAGGTTAACGGCGTTTGTATTATGCAGGCCACATCCGCTGCGGGGAATCTGTGACGTCATATCGATCAAAGGGGGTTGTTTCATGCCTTGTGATCAGTGCTTCGGCCTGGGTATTCATTCTACCATTGTATGCTTTGCCTAGCTGCAGCAAGTTTTGCGCTTCGATACCTTTTCCCGACCCACCCACCCATGTTCATTCTAAAAGATTTTATCTGGTAGCTAGTATATGTCATTTTTATATAATTTTTAATCTCACATAAAATAGGATGTATAGACCACTATACACTGTCGCAGGTATGCCTTGGCAGAATTGTCATTGCTATCTCCTTTTGCTGCTAATTTTACTGATTGTTGCTCTCATTGTTGTTGCGCAGCTGCTATGGCAATACTTCGTACCATCAAGTCTAGTTGCAGCCTTAAACATGGTTACGATCGCCCAGACCAAATGGAAACCTGATTTTAGTGTTATATATAAAAATACTCCTCTTTTAATTACAATTTTCTGCTAATAAATATATATTTTTGGTCGACGTTAATATCTTGCCAGTTCCATATTCTTATTTAATAATTAATACTATAATGCCTGGGTATCCCCATTTGACGAGTAAAAATGAAAATGGGGGGGGGGTCAAAGAAAAATATTCTAATATGCAGGGGGGGGCCATCATTAAATTTCTGCCATTTGGGGGGGCTTTCAATTTTAAAAATTTAGAAAAGAAAAAAATTCCCCTCCCCCCTTCCATAAATAATGACCGGTCCCTAACCAATATCAACAGTCTTGAAAAAACAATCTGAATAGATTATTATAAAACTACACACTATCAAAGCAAATCTATATAAAAGTACAATAACCGTAGCTGTCAGGTGTGTATAGTGTTCAACAGAATAACTATAAGTATAAAGCTGTACCTAATACAGTCAGTATCAGTACATCCAATGACCGTGGCTTTCCGATATGTACAGTGTTAAACAGAACAATTTAAACATGATAACTATAATAAGCATAAAGCTGTACCCAATGTAATA